AACCTGAGGTCTGTGGTTGAGGTATTAATAGACCCGAACAAAAAAATCAAATTATCTACTACAAAAAATTTAAAACAGCAAACCTTATCCTAAAAAGTAACAACACCCAAGCAAAATCAAAATTACAATGAATGAACATTATCTATGATTTCAACTGCCCCTTAAGGAACTGTGTTTCTGATCAAACCGAATTCATAAATAATTACATCGGTCACACTACTACATGCCTATCTAGACGTCTTATGTTACACCAATCTGAACATAGCTCTATTAGAACCCATTTAGACAAACACACAAACTTACCATATTCAATCTGAAATATAATAGTAGAAAATACAAGCATAATAACCTCATCCACATGTAAAAAAAGATTAAAAATAAGGGAAGCCTTAATAATAAAAAAGAAAAATCCAACACTTTAATATTAACTACGAACACGGCCACAATCTGCTGTGTTCGTAAATAAAACATCTCTATAACACTAAAAACATACACAACCAATTAAATTGAAAAAATTAAAATTGTTCTTGATAATGGTTAAAAGTATGGCTGAAAGCGCTAGGAATTATAGAAGATTTGGATAGTTTCTATACACTCTGTGTCGAAAAAAAGAAAACACTCGTTCGAACACAAGAAAATGTAACATGTATAAATGAAGGATTGCTACATAAATACTATATATGTATATATATATATATATATATATATATATATATATATATATATATATATATATGGGGCGATGGATAAATTATCGTCGAAATTACGCATACATGAAAATAACACTGGAATCTCATTTCAACAGATATATTTAACAAAATATATTTACACAAAAATATCTTGCTTGGATCTTCACTCACTTAAAAGCGTCCCACAAATAATAATCAAGTGCTTGCAGTCTGGGAAGTTAGATGGCCAGATGTAAGGGGTGATATGGGTGTGGAAATTATCTGATAGCCATGTATGGATTTTCCTGCTTGTATAGCATAGTGCGAAGCGCTGTTGCCGAACGTGATATCTTCCGGCAGACACCCTCTTGACCCAGGGAAGCACCACCTCCACAAGGAACTTGATGTAGGCCTCTGTGTTGAGTCTGAGGCCCTCACCAACAAATTCGGGAGTTCTTTTCTTGTCAGAACGATCAAAGTGAGTTTTCCCACCTGCTGTACCTTCGTAATCACCATTACACTCAGCCAACTGTTTCCGAATCCTCTGCACTGTCCTCATAGTGACACCCCAAAACTCTGAAATGTTCGTATTGGAGCTTCCGGTGCGAATACCAAGCAGTACAGCATGTCGTTTCCAAATTTATAGTACTCCTTTTCTCACAGACTAACTGTCTAACTGACCTTACTATACTGTGCAGTCGACAAAATCAAAAACAAAAAACGCGCATGCGCGAAATTAATAATATAAAATGATGACAATTTACCCATCGCACTAAGTGTGTGTAAATGTAAATATATATATATATATATATATATATATATATATATATATTTTTATAATTTTTAATGTAGAAAAAAACAGTTTACTCACTACAAAAATGCAACTTCGTTTTGGTGCATTTCAATTGCACCTCGACTGGTGAGAACCAGAAATGGTTATGAACAATTCTGCTTATAAGCAAGCCGTATGTGAAACATCACTTCCTTTTTTCCATTTG